TGAATTAATTTGGTCATTTGAAAGTTAAATAAGTACTTCAAATTCTAGTGCAGGAATGAACAGGAGACATCCTCTTCGAAAACACCATAAACATAAGAGGGCCATCTCTTATGAAACCCTCACGGTAAAGGGTTAGTTCCAGAAGGGTTTATGCCTAGAACCCAAATGCTATCGGGGGAAAATACACTTGAAGCCTTGCATAATACGTCGCAAAAAAGTAAACTTTGCGCGATGCTTAAACAAAAAGCACCTGTATATAACAAACGTGCCCAGCAACACAAATACAAAAGTATGAAAATATAGCAAAAAACTAAACTATTGCGTCCCTAGGACTTGGGTAAAGAGAAGCATCTGCGCCACCACGAGAAATAAGCGGATCTGCCACCTGCTCAGGATCTTGGCCTTCGTCATTATCCCCTTCAAGTTCCTCCTCAGTTCCTGAGAACTCGGAATTGGAACCAGAAGAGTCAATCGCATTAGTCGAACAAGGAGGAAACTTCGGGTAGTAGACTCCAGCTCACGGGCCTTGGCGATCTCGACATCAAAATCAATGACTCCTGCTTTGGACTCTTCCAGGGTTTTCTCCTCATTCTATACATAGAATGTGTCTTCTTAACAGTGATGGAATCCGCTTAGCGTTGGATCCCTAATTTAAGCTGGTCAACCTAGGTCGAAAGGCTATCCCTCTCGAACTTTACGGTAATAAGCCTAGATCAAGATCACGAATAGTAAGATATGAACCTTATTGTGTTCCATGACCCTCATATACTTCTCCTCCATCTGGCAACGCTTCTCCTCAGCAGCAACGACCTCTTCACCTTTGGAGTTCAAGGCAACCTCCAAATTATTCAATCTCTCAGTAGAGGTAGACTTGCACTCAGCAGCAACAAGAACAACATTCTGGACCTCGGAACATTTAGACTTGGCTTCTTGAAATTGTATATTTAACTGGTAAGCTTCTTGGCTAAGGGCCATAACTTCTTGCTCGCTTTGCTGCAACCGAGCCTCCAACTCACCGTCTTCGGCAACTTGTGCTTCCAGTGCCAGGAGACGAGCAACAATTTGGTCCCTCTTGGCCAACAGTTGATCCTGCTCAGACGTGAGTCTTTCTTTATCGAGGATCAACTTATGAAGGCCCTCGGAAGCAAGGAAGTTAGCATGCAAAGCAAAAAATCAAATCAGAAATCCTATAATAACAAGTCAAAATAAAACAAAGGAAAGATATCATACCGGTATTGTGCATGGAATTGTTTATCATACACTCCGTCGGAAGAGAGTGTATTTTCTTCTTATTTTTCTCTGAAGCCAACGGCTTCAGGTAATTGGTGAGTTCCACAAGCCAGGACAGTAGATGGCACTCAATAGAAACCGAAAGAGAGACGCTCCTCCTACTATGAGATCTACATAGGGGGCGAATAGTTGTGCCCCAAATTCCAATGTTCTGGGGAGGGGGGACATCCTCCTCTCGGGTATCTGCGGCTGGTGTGGGTAATGTAGCAGTTACTGCTGATAGAGGTATGACTGCATAGAAGGATATGAAGTTGATGTCATTGTGGGTTAAGAAGAAGTTGCGGCAAAAGCAGTGCTGGTTGTTGGTTGCTCATTAACCGAAGATGGAAAAGGCCTGGTACCCAGTCTTACAGTATCAGGAGTAGCGATTAGGACTCAAAAGTGAGAATTGGCCTTCTCTACTAAGTCACACTCTCCCTGGAGCGCTTGGACGTCATCCTCGGTTGGTGTTATAAGATTTTTAGTTTGAGAATTTTGTTGAGCTGATGAAGATCTGATGAAGATCGTTGTATTATATGTAGGGATGCCTCTTCATCATTGGCTTCCCCATCATCATCAATCACCACAATGGTTGGCTCGGGTGAGATGTTCTTTACCTATTTATTTTTGCCCTCGGCCGAAGAGGAACGTCGCCTTATTGGTTGCTTGTTCTCCGGCCGAGGAATCCGAGAGGAAGCACTTACACTAGAAGCAGGTCCGATAACACTTGTTCGAGTGAAGGCCTCCTTAGACAACTTCACAACCTCTGAGGGATCAGCCGAAATATCCTCCTTGGGGATGGTAACAGAGCCCTGTGAAAGACCTGAATTCAACGGAAAAAAGAAGTTAATTAATCTTCTTATACATAAGGTAAAAACAAGATTAGTTTTGATAATCAACTTACCATGATTTTGGGCCTTCCATCCGCATTTGAGGGCCAGTTCTTTCCACCGACGGGTCTCAAGCGTGGTAATATTCAAAATCTTCTGGACCTACTGGTCCATGTCTTCCACCTTTGGTAGTGTCTATCGAGTTGCTGAAATAATAAAAAGAGAAGAATCAGTAACAGCATGAAACAATCTTTCATTAGAGAAAAGACAGACGTTGAACTTACATGTACGAGCCCATGAATCAAGGAAAGATGGAGTTGTGTCCAGGATGATATCCCTAGTAGAAACTACAATGAACCGCTCCATTCATCTACGGTCGGTGTCATCATCTATGCTAGTGAGCAAAGCATGGTGGCTACGTTTGCTAAAGTTTATCACTCACCCATAAAAAAATCTTGGGGGAGTAAAGGTACATCATGCGAGCCAAATAGAGCTCTTCCCCTATCTCTTGACATAGCCGCTGTAGACAGGCTATCATCCGCCATACAGAGGGGCTCACCTGTGCCAAGCAGACTTCATACCGGTAGCGAAACTCCAAGATTATAGGATCAAGTCTTCCACATAATGAGAATGGGCCCAAAGTAAAAGGGTACGTGTAAACGTATGTAAAACCCTTATTAGGGAAGGTTACTCGCTTCGCCAAATCGAGAGCGATAATGTTAAGACCATGGCAACCACAATCCTCCTTCACATCAGGAATGCTAGAAGGAAGGATGGAAGAAGGATATATGCCAACAGCCCATGTACAAGAGTTGGTAGGAGGAAACTTTTCTTCAAAATCCTTGACGGTATTGAGCCTTTTAGGAATGATGGTGCTCACCGTAGGAGGGGCAACATCATTGGAGCTTTCTTTGTTTTTTAGAGAGCTTGAGTTCTTGGAGGAGGAGGCCGTGATTAGCAGAAGATAATAAGAGTTCTTTGAAGAAGAATATTAAAAGCAAGAAAGAGTTGAGTGCAAATAAGTTGAGAGAGTTTTGAAAAACTGTGAAGTGTAAAAGAAGAAGAATGAGGCGTATAAGTAGGAATAGGCGGCTAAAATTGTGTCCATGATTACCTCGAGGACCGGCGAAAGTATTGCTAAATCGTGGAGTGATGAGTGTTCGGGGCATTAAATATGGAGAGATGTGCGTCTAATCAAACGTCAGAAACTTTTCAGAGGGGATCCGAAAATTTTCCGCCAATAATGGTATCTTCACCAACTTCCCCATGACACAAATACGTGCCACAGGAAAACATGGAGAATATGTGTATAGGGTAAAATTGGTTCGTACTAAATACTCGAATAATAAAGTGACACGTGAAACTGGAGGCATACGGAAATCGAGGCAAGAAGAAACCAAGACCGAGGACAGCAGGTTCGACTGGCACCGGGAAGACCCGAAGGGAATAATGCTAATGAAGATAGATGAACATTTGTTGCCGATGACATTCAATGAAGAATATTCTTTAAAATTAAATACGTTATAGAGAATTTTGGCATTCATGGTCTGTAATTACACAATCATCAACGGCTCCCATAATTGTCATTTAAGAGGGGCTTGATTTTAGGACCTTGTGTCCCTAGGTGCAGCTATAAATAGTAATTTCAACAGCCATTGTAAATGACATAAATTTTATGATAAACTTATGCTACATACTGTTCAAAAGCTCAATAATACTTTATTTCCTGTCTATTAATATTCTTATTACTGCTTTCGGAATTTCTGCTTCCGGAACTAAGCTATTTGCTATCATATCTCGATTTCAAATGCTAAGTCTTGCATTTTATATAATTTATTATTTTGGGATCAAATCGATTCGCTTGTCTATAAACCATGCTACAAATTCAACTATACCGTTTTACGATTAAGCACTCATATATTTATAAACCGGTATTATTTATGTGAAATCATTGTGGAATAACACTATCACGGTTAACTATACATAAGCACTTGAATGGCAAAACTGCCATTGAGGGTCTCCCCAAATCACTTTTTAAACTCTTGTGCAGTTTAACCAAATACAAATTTAAGTTATACAATGTATATTCAATTTTTAATAGTGAACCAAACGTCTAATAACAAATATTCTTTGTATTACAATCTACACATTACTAATCCTGGTATAACTTAGTTCTAAATCAAACAATCCTGACATGTTTTCTAATTAAAGAGAGTTATATGTCACATTCTAAAAACTTATGCAAACTTCAGAAGAAAGGATTTTAAATTATACATGGTTACACATTATTTTACTCGGAAAAAAAGGAGAAATGACAAAAATAGTCCCTTTATTTTGGGGAATAGGTTCAAATTGACCCTTTAAATATATTGTTGAGCACTTTTGGTTATTTAAATTTTTCAAAAGTGAACACTTTTGTTCTCTTTCAACTATTTAAATTATATTAATCATGTTTAATGGAAAATATGAAAAAAAAAGATTTAACATGAGCTCACATTTGGAGGTGTAGTTTTTGCTATTCTTTGTTATATTTTTTTAGAATCAGGTGCACTTTTTGAGATACATTGCTTGTTATTTTAATTATTCTTAGTGTTCAGTGTAGTGTTTGGGTACTGCGCTTATTGAATTTGCAAAACTCTCGTGTTGTTTCTCGTTATTTTTTTATTTCTATTTCACAGTTTTCATTATATCTAACATCCAAAGCTTGTTAAAATATTTGATGGAGACAAAAATATTCAATGTTAACAAGCTTAGAGGACCAAAAGTGCTCAAGCGTATATTTAAAGGATTGTTGTAAATATACCCTCAAACATAAGGGACCATTTATGTCATTTTCTCGAAATATGAGTAAATAAAAATTTGACAAGCGGGAAAAGGTTTTGAGGGGACCGTATGGTATTATTTCAAACGCAAATCCCCTCTCCATCTAAATTCTAACATCTTCATTTCTTCCCTAAAACACCCAAAATCCACTGTTCCCGTTTCGAATTTCATATATATTCCAGTTCATCACACGCCGGGTGGTGCAGGCATTCATCAATAAAAGGTAAATTCTCCACTTATACTCACTTGTTTCGGATTTAGATTCATTAGTTAGTAGAGAGGAGAAATTGTTAGTCTTGAACTTGTAAATTAGTTCTACAGTGAAATAGATAATTAACTTGTACATATTTATGCAGAAAAAAAACTCTATGTTTGACTTACCCCCTCAGCTCTGATGCAGTTCGATCTAAATTTATAGCTATCTGTCTGCAACAATTGTGAGGATTTTAGGTTTTAGAATTTATTGGATCAATTATAAATATTTGTACATTTTTGTGCCAGAAAATTTCATCTACTTTTTAAGATGGGTGTGGAGAGCTACCATGTTATAGAGCTTGTGGGCGAGGGCTCTTTTGGGAAGGTGTACAAAGGGAGGAGAAAGTTTACTGGCCAGGTACTTTTTTTTTATTCTTAGGCAAGACTATTTGTTATTCTTTCAGGATAAGGATTATTAGTGCTTTTGCTAGTCATTCTTACTTTTAAATTTGATTACTCTCAGACGGTTGCCATGAAATTTATTCCGAAACATGGGAAAAGCGATAAGGACATTCACAACTTAAGGCAGGAAATTGAGGTATTCTCTGTGGTGCTACCATACTTTGGGCATTCGCTAGGTCTCCAAAATGTGGTTAAAAAAAACATTTCCTCGGATTTTGCTGAAACAGGACGCTTATGCTTGCTCTTCGATCATAAGTTTTAATGTTTCATCTTGATTACTGTTTTTTTGAGGCTCTGCTTGCACTGTCTCTATTTTCTCTGAAGGAGGTTATTTAAATGGTGCAGATTCTAAGAAAGTTGAAGCATGAAAATATTATAGCAATGCTCGATTCTTTTGAAAGCCCGCAGGAGTTTTGTGTCGTTACAGAATTTGCTCAAGTAATCGGTCTCCTCTCTCTATTCTCTCTCTTCCAAATGTTAGGTCACAGTGCCATATGCATTTCCTCCATGTCTACATGCATAAGACGTATTGAATTTCTATCCCGTAGTAGCAGGGCAGCATTGCTGACTAACGAAACCTATCATATCCAGGGTGAGCTGTTTGAAATTCTTGAAGACGATAAATGCCTTCCTGAAGAACAAGTCCAAGCAATAGCAAAGCAGTTGGTAATCTACAGAAAATTTTGATTTCTTTTATATCTAAACATTACTATTCTTCTATCGACTACTTATATGTGGAGGAATTCCACCACTGTCCCATGTTATATATTTTATTTATTCATTTAACTGTTTTTTTCTTTTCGTTTCAGGTAAGAGCACTGCATTATTTACACTCAAATCGTATAATACATCGTGACATGAAGCCGCAAAATATTCTCATTGGTGCTGGATCTATTGTCAAGGTTGGTTATACTAATTTCTTATATGAACCAATAGTTTCATGGAATTGTGTTACAATTAGATATTACAAAAACATAATTGACGTGTTTATTTCTCATGGATGTTATTCTAGTTATGATCTCTTACTTAGCCAATTCTGTAATAAAGTTTTGGCCATTCAAAATGTTGTGATTTCATGTTACATGCAGTCTCAGAAGTTCCTTCTTTTTAGGTTTATGATTGTGTATGAGTAATGTCTTTCTTAGCACACCTAGAAATTGAAAAACAGTGCCATAAGCACAAAACCCAAGCAAAAGAAAACCATACAGTTCTCTATTCATTCTTTATTCACCATCAGTCCTCTGTTAGTATATTTTGACATCATTAAGCTCAGCCGGAAGCAGTGGCAGAAAGGCAGTGTATCCTCTAATATGTTGAATGGAGGTTTGCATGTTGCGTATTAGAACAACTGCCCTACTGGCAATGTAATATGGGAGTGGGTGTTGGACCTAAACATATCCACAAGATGAGCGAATCATAAATGTGTATATTTAGATGGCTGTGCTGTCATATAAGGTTAGAAATAATCATATCAGGCGAAAGGTGCAAGTAGCATAGATAGATATTAGATGATAAAACAAGAGAAGGTCGCTTGAGATTGTTTGGTCATGTCCCATGTAGATCTTTAGAAGGATCGGTCCACATGGGTGAAATTCATCGGAGGTGCTAAAAGGGGACGAGGCAGACCTAAAATCAGATGAGAAGAAGTTGTCTCGAAAGACTCTGAATTCGTGAAAGCAACCTTAGCACAAAATACAGCAAAATGGAAGAAAAGATCCACATAGGCTATACCAACAAGTTGGGATTAAGATTTAGTCATGTTGATACAATTACTTTAGGTTCAATGTCCACTTGGAGTTTTGGAGTATTCAAGAGATCTATACGCTACTAGAAAATTTAAAGAGCTTCTATTTGGTATAGAACTTCAATTATTGAATATTGCATAGAGAAGCGTCTAATGGAGTGACGTGGATACTTAGAATTCGTATAGATTATTATTGCCGATCCAAACTAATTTAGGATTGAAGCATAGTTGTTGTTTAATTATTGTTATCATCATACATTCAAGTGATCTTCTTTGCCAGGGATCTAGTCTTATTTTAGTTCCTTGAGGGAACATAATTTAGCTTATTCATTGGTATGTTCTGTGGCTATATGACAACTAGCCTGCAATATCTGTTAAAGCATTATTACATAATAAGAACTTGCGATGATACTGGAAATGCATTTGAGCTTGTTTTATCTTCATGTTTTTGTGGATAATATGGCAGTGTATAACTTGGTTCTTATTGTACTCTGTGTTCAGCAGTAAAGATATAACCCTATCTTCTCATGTCTCCCTCTTTTTATTTTTTATTTAACAGCTTTGTGACTTCGGTTTTGCACGAGCCATGTCCACAAACACAGTAGTTTTGCGATCCATAAAAGGTGACTTTTGCCTCACTTAGTAGGATTGCTTCAGTTTCCGGTTATAAATGGACATCAAGTGGTTGATACAAGCTACATTCCCAAAAAAGTGGCTGATACAAGCTATTGTTGATCCACTCCTTACCTGATCTCTGTCTTCTTTGCATTTTCTTAGGTACACCATTGTATATGGCTCCAGAATTGGTACGAGAACAACCATACAACCACACTGCTGATTTGTGGTCTCTTGGCGTTATCTTGTATGTGACATCTACTTAATTTAGGAACTCTTTCGGTGTTTTGAGTAACTTTAAGATTCTTTGTGATTGTTGGAAAGAATTGCCTTCTAGCTGGAGGGAAGCTTGACTCCTGTTAGATGAAATGAGCTCCTCTATTGCTAAGAAAAAAAAGAACAAACTTTTCAGTTTGGCGGCATTAAGAATCTGAACCTTCTAAAATAGGAACAAACGTCTGAATAAGAACATGATCATACATTGACAAGGAAAACAGTTACAGACTAGTCCAATTATACCCTTTATTGGCTTCTTTCCTTCTTCTGCATATTTTTATTTCTCCATATGAATTTGATCAGCTGATTTTATGCAGATATGAGCTGTTTGTTGGTCAACCTCCATTTTATACTAATTCAGTTTATGCTCTTGTTCGCCACATCATCAAGGTAACAAGGTTATGCTTGAGTAGATTTTGGATCTAGACCTGTGATTGATTAGACCATTAACTTGTAATCGCACTCGTACTCAGGACCCAGTTAAGTATCCAGACAATATGAGCTCAAGCTTCAAGAGTTTTCTGAAGGGCCTGCTTAACAAGGTTTCCATCTATAAATATAAAAGCCCTTGCACTACTATATTTTTAGCTTCCTACTTTTGATCTAGTGATCAATTCTGTGAATCAGGTACCGCAGAATAGACTGACCTGGCCTGCACTTCTTGAGCATCCATTTGTTCAAGAAACATTGGAGGATGTGGAAGCCAGGGTACCTATAGATTTTGAAAAGCAAGCTAATAATATCTAATCTTCCATTTTGGTCTTTCATTAATGGAACAATTTATCAAAATAACAGGAGATTCGTACTGCAGCAGCTGCTGCAAAGGGATCTGATGCAACTTGGAGGGGAAAGGGAGATATTCAATCAACTCAGTTGAATGTTGCAAGTCCCGAAAGTAAGTCCATCCTTTAACATATTGCACATGCACTTCTAATTTTGCCCAATTCATCTATCTCAAAGGATACCACTGCAGGTAAAAGTCATATTCAAGCTGTCAGTGCAAATGGAAACATTGGGAACCTTCAGACTGATGTTCATTTGAAAAGTCCAGACAACGTCACTGTCAATGCTTCACCAGAGGAGTTCCCAGGTTTCTCACAGCCTGATGATATTGTACAGTCAGGTAAGTTGTGTTCTGCTAGGTAGATTAGACATATTTTTCTACTTATGTGATCATGCTGCAAAATCGTAGGCTTTCTATGAGCTTACATCAATACAGCTGATACAATTGTTTTCAACATAGGAATAAAGGAAGAGCTTCATTCTTGTATTACCTCTTTGCCGATTGTAATCTAGGATATATGACCTGTATATATATTTTTTATTTAAAAAAATTTTAGTATTAGTTCCTGAACGTTGAAAAGGTCAATTTCACTTAGAAAAAATTAAATCATGACACATTAGGGTGGAAGGAGTAAACTAAACTCTTGTCACAACTTTCATTTAATTTTCTTTTTTAAATTGAATCAGTAGTGGCTCCACAGTTACTCTCTTTTGTTTCTGATCATGTAAGTAACTGATCATTTTCTTCTTCCGCACCCCTACGGGATAAAAAGCCACCAGGTTTTGCCTTGAGGTACATTAGCTCCTATCAGTTAGAGTTTCGTGTGTACGTAGGACAAACAGAAAGTTCAACTTTTTGAAGAATTGTCAGTAGGCTCTGTGCCGCTGCATACATGTAATATAATATTTACAACACTATTCTTTATCTGATTTTTATATGGATAAGTAATAGATCTTTCTTCATCTGTCAGTTTCTCCAGCTCGTCTTTCTTAGCTTCTTAGGACATTTGAATTTCACTCACAAGTTAGTTCTGATCATGCTTTTAACTGCTTAGTTACTTATGATATCTCATTCATATGTTTCTGTTAGTCATTCTTGTGTTTCTTTCCGGAGGGGAGGATCAAGCAATCTTTACCAATTCTCCTATATCACATCCCTTATTTTATTATGTGTAGCCCCGTGTGAGATTTCCATGATTTGTGATGTGTACGATATCCATGATATATGCCATCTTCTCAGGTTGTCAAGTTTTGGGCAGACTGGAAAGCAACTCCCGAACAGTCAAGGGTGCAAAACTTATTGGGCAAGATAATGATGCATTGTCAGCTATTTTGGTTCCGTTAAGAAACTTGTGTGAAGAATCAAAAGTTCCTGGCAGGTAAGAACTCTGTATAAGAGGTGTGCAGCATCTTATTTCATGATTAGACATGATATTGTATATTTTACATGATATTTGTAAAACATATTTGTTCAACGAGCAGGTAGTCCAAATGACCAGTTTTTGTTACTCTAGATAAATCATTCACCTTGTTTTTTGCCTCCAATTGAGAAAGAGTTTTTCATATTGAGGGATTCCGTCACCCTCTGCTGCAATAATGCTACTAGAATGAATTCCATCTGCATGTCTGTAAATACTTAAAGGAGAAAGATATAATTTACTTTCTCAGAGGTTTTGATATTATGTGTCACACGTATTAGAAGATCAGTTCAGAGAATTTTCGCTGCTTGCTGTTGTTTGACTTTGGTATCATTTATCAAGCCAAGGTTGGTAACATTTGATGGTTACAAGAACTGATATCTGGTTGAAGTAAGTAGGCACAAAATTGCTACTTTTGAGTTTTGATATTACTAACCTGCTTGTTTCTTGCACAGGGATCATGATTTTATCAAATTAAACCAATCGCTTAGGATCCTTTCGAACTTAGTTGCAGCAGCTTCCATCAACTCAAATGGGACTCTTGATCAAGTTATATGTGTCCTTCTTGGTTTCACTTATGCTGTACTTAAAATCAGGTCTTCCAATGGAACTGAATTGCTGATGAGGGTAATTTCATGAGAACGATCTTTACTTACCAGACCAAAGTAAAAGAGGAAGAGATTTTGCTCTGATATGGGTTTCTCTTCTTGTGGACTATAATTGCACATCTTTACGTTGGACTTCAATGAGATAGCTAAAATCTCAAACTTTGTGCTTAATTTTTGTCCAAACTTAAGTGTTAAAATATGAAAAGAGAGCTACGTTTCGCTATGAATTTTGAATAACCCGTGTATCCTTCAAAACAAATTTTCAATAATATTGCTGGTGCTGTTTTGCTTCCTTAAAATCTAATGATTAACGTGGTCTGACTGTAATGCAGAGTTTCTCCGTCACCAGAAAACTGTTAGATATCTGTGGAGGTGCTATTGGAGGCTCATTTCAAGGGCATTGGAGAACACTTCATGAATTGTACTCGCAGGTTTCGTTTCCTAACTTGGAAAACTGTGCACTGATATCACCATTTTATACTTGCTTTCTTTTAACTGTTATATACTAATGTACAGGTGATAAATAACCTGGATGATGCTTCTGGTCGAGTTTTGTCTGAGTCAACTGGTTGCATTGCAGCTATGTTGTTTCGAGTGGCTCAGGCTCTTAAAGTATCATCTTCTCCGCCAACCCTTATAGGAACTCTCAAAGAACTGTTAGACCATGCTACCAGCTCTGGCATAGTGGACCTTTTGATTTTGTGCTTAGCTACATCAGGGTCTAACCTCATATCAGGTTCCTCAAATTTACTGCGAGCTGCTGCTGAAGCCTGCAGGGCTCTTTGGTTGCTGGTGGACGCATTTGAACTACTTTCTCTAAGAGATAATAGATATCATTTTCCAATTAGCTGTTTGCGAAGTCCATCTTTACATCGACTTGACATCAAGGACCATGAGCGAGGTCCATTACTTGGTAGGGATTCAACAAAAATTATTGATTCCATGACAAAGGCATTTCTAAGGTCCAAAGCCATACAGGTTGCTGTTTATTATTGTCTGCATCAACGTCTTGAACCTTCTATCTGTGCTGGAGTACAGGTATCTATCTTTTTGTTTTCACTTACTATGTTTTACTGGAACTTGCTTAATGAGTTTGGAGCTGTTGGATTTTTGTGGATAGGTACCATATGAATCACAGGAACTTGGATCTTTTTTTTTCCTCTACTCTTTCTCTCTCTGTGTGTGTTGTATTTACAAATCCACCAATGTCCATTTCTCAGCTAACTTTTACCATCTCCAGGCTAATAATTTCTTAGCAAAATGTTCTGGAACAATTATTAACTGACATTTGTTGAAAGGTCCTGTGCCATTATCATTATACCTTGGAGCCATTGACCAATAGATCTATTTGGTGGTCCTGGTCGTGCATAGTTGATTGCTTAAGTACTTTTATTCCCGCTCAAGCGAATGTAGTAAAGCAAGATTGCTCTCTACATTTTTCCTAAACATGACATCTAATGATGTAACGGGAAAGGGAAGAATAACGGGTGTCAGCTCAAAGTAGCAGGACAAGGTCCATAGGGCTTGAAGGGAATAACAAGAAGTGAAGCACGTGCTTCTTTGAAGTGAGCACAAATCATGACATTAAAGTAACAAACAAATGACTCTACTATTATTATGGTCAAATTGCAACTAAAATGACTGATCTCAGTATCCAATAATAATAATGCCAATATTAATCCAACTCCTCAAAGTTGATCTTCAAAGAACTGACATGTTCAGGTTTACTTTGCGCATCATTGTTTGAAGCGGACATCTCTATGAAGTGATGCCCCCTTGCTTCCCTTCGCTTCTTTAAGCAACGAAGCAATGTCTTTCAATAACACTGGCACACTCTTTAAACAAACGGCTAATTGGCTTATTACATCTCATCAAAATATATTTTGTTTTCTGTTTTTCACACGCATCCTGAAAGAAGGTTAGGTGCATGAGACGTTGAATAAAGTAGCTATATTTTGTGCCTTTATCCTGATATCTTGTGCTGTCACATGTCAAAATTATTAACTTATTCTTCTTTTCAGCTTGTTCTGAGGTGTTGCTTGCATAGTGGAGTTGTTGCCAATATCCTCTGTGGTCTGCCTAGTTCTCTTCCCGTTACTACAGTGGTGAGTGGAGGAGGCGACGGCACTATTGTTTCAGAGATTTTCTCTGTACTGTCATCAACTAAGAAAGCACGTGGCGGAGAAGCAAACACCTTGGTTCTGCACTTAAGCCTTCTTCTTGCCACCATTGCACAATGTCTAAAGTCATCAGGAAGGAATTCTGCCTTGTTCATTCTCACTACATCTTCAAGAAAGCAGCTCACTCGGCTCTCTGACCTTGCACATTATTTCTCTGCTGATGTACAGTCATTATGCCAACCTCATTCTGCATCTGCAATGCTAGCTCTAGCATCCATTCTGTCTCTTGAAACTAGCTGCACAGTTGAAACTGCCATTCTTGACATAGCTGTGCCTATGATCCCTAGGACTGCCAAGCTATGTGAATACCTTAGGAATCCTGCTAATGAACAAGATGGAACAAGTATGTTTAGTGGAATGCTTTCACATTGGCATGGCCTAAGAGATGGATGTATTGGGTTATTGGACATACGACTGAAGAAGGAAGGACCATTGGCTGTGCAACACTCCTGTGCTAGTGGTATTCCACAGCTGCTTATTGATTTGTTGACAAACAACATTACAGAAGTCTCTTCTGAAGAATCCAATTTTTCGAAAGACCAAATTGAGCTATCACCAATTGGAGTTGCATGGAGCATTTCATTACTATGCCAATGCCTTACTGGGGGAGTATCAACTTTTCGTCATATATTGCTTAAGATGGAACATGTCAAGGTCATATCTGATTTGATATTGGACATACATCTTAAGCTAGTCAAATCTTGGAGTGGACCCGGTGGCGGGGTGGATGGGGTTAGGGATACAATAAATGCGGTTATAGATCTTTTGGCATTTCCGTTTGTGGCTGTACAGAATGGTCTAGGTTTGCCATCTGCTACTGCTTCAGTGAATAGTGGATTTCTCCTTAATGTTGGTTCACCTGGTGGAAGAGTTTGTCCTGAAGACAGAGACATGGTGAAAGCAATTGAATCACATTTGGGAAAGTATACTCAAATCCTATTGGAGGTTGGACTTTGTATCTTCCCTTCAAACTCTTATAATCTTACTTGAAATATTGTGTACTTGAAGGATAAGGTTTCTGAGTGTGGTTTGCAGTTTATCGGCCAAATTTCTTAAAAGGATATTCGTTGGTCAAACTCTTCTTAAGTGTGTGTCATCAGTATATGATTCTCCACACTTTATGCTTGCAGGTAGGAGTTCCAGGCATTATTCTTCGGTGTTTGGAACATATGGAATCCAAAGATAAAGCCAGGCCTGTTGCATTTCTTGCCAAAATGACGGCTTACCGACCTCTTGCTGTTCAACTATTGGGTAAAGGTTTGCTGGATCCAAGGAGAATGAAGTCTCTACTGGATGGTTCATGCCCCGGAGAAGCCGTTCTAGATGTTCTCATGATTGTTTCAGATTTAGCTCGCATGGATAAGGTCAATTCTTTACTGGGCATACACTCTTAGTTGATCGATGGTGAACTTTCGTGACTTTTAATTCTTCATTGGTTAGTAGAAGTCAAAGAATGGTGTACAGGAATGCTAAAGATTGACTTTGTTTATAATGCCATTGGCTGTGCTTTCTTTTTTCTCTCTCTATGTTTTACATGTTACTGCCTGTTTAATTTCTTGTCTGATGTATCCTTGATTATTATTTAAACATTCCTTGATACCTCTTATACTATTCCGAAGTTTCTTTTGGCAATATGTGGAAATTAAGAATGATTGACCTTTAAAGTTGGATTTGTATGAGTCATAGTTAACTAAATTTGTCAAAAGTAAGCTTGAAGTTGAGTATACGTTTTAAGTGCTTAACTGCTAGGGTTTGTTTATTTTTGTGTGTTTAAAAATTATATTGAACGTAATATTATAGTCTAGTAAAAAAAAATTTACTCTTAAACCTTGTAGATAGTGTGAAATACTTATTTGATACGGATTGTGTGTGGACTCATTTAGTGGTACTTATTTGATACGGATATCATTGAAGAGACTGATTGTATCATAAGTTTTCATAACTATGCTGATGTTGATTCTAACTGTACATATGCATCCAGGCCTTCTATGAATACATTGATGGGGCAGATATCTTGGAGTATCTTAAGGAGTTCCTAACCGATAAAGATCCTAATGTGCGTGCCAAAACATGCAGTGCTATAGGAAATATGTGTCGTCACAGCTCCTATTTCTATGCTTCGCTGGTAACGCCCTCCTGTATAACCTGTGGTTTCATCTGTATTGAGTTTAAACCAAAATGATCTTTCATTTATAATTTCAGCATTACTTCCTATTGTGGTTTTACAGTTCTAGAATTTACTGCATATACTAATTCTATCTTTCTCTTCCAACTCTCAATTGTTTTTTGCTGATTTTGTAGGCAAAACGTGGCATCACTAGTCTTCTCATTGATCGCTGTGCTGATTCTGACAAAAGAACGCGGAAGTTTGCTTGCTTTGCTGTAAAGCTTTTGTTTGCTTCCTAGCTGTTTGATAAAATCAAATTATCTTTTTAATTTTTGTCAAACTATTGTTATAAATGGTTAGCTGATTAAGGTCTTTTCCACATTTGTAGATTGGCAATGCTGCCTATCATAATGAGCTGTTGTATGATGAGCTCCGGAGATCCATTCCTCAGCTCTCATATCTGCTGCTTTCAGCTGAGGAAGACAAAACCAAGGCCAATGCTGCTGGGGCACTCAGTAATCTTGTCCGCAACTCCAACAAGCTTTGCGGAGATATTGTTTCTAAAGGAGCCATGCAGGTTTTTCATGCCCCTATCATGTTTTACCTTCGTCGTTGCTTATTTGCATAGCAAATCTAAACCTACTGATTCTTTTCATTTGCAAAGATATTGTTTCTAAACCAGAATATTTTCATAGTCATATCACTTTATACTAGTTTTGAGTACAACAACAACAACAACAACAACAACAACGGCCCAGTGTAATCCCACAAGTGGGGTCTGGGGAGTGTAATATGTATGCAGACCTTACACCTACCCCGAGGGGCAGAGAGGCTGTTTCTAGGAGACCCTTGGCTCAAGAAGGCCACGAGATTTATACTAGTTTTGAGTGCCTGATGCAAATGCCTTATGCCTTAACTGCCTGTTCTATCCTAATAGAGAATGCTGAATTTGTTCAGCAAACTTCCTTTACCAAAGTTGATGGTTCTTTTTCTCCAGGCATTACTTAAGCTGGTGACAGACTGTTCTGTCGTAGCTCTGAGCCCCAGTAGAAAAGATACAATAAATGAGTCACCTTTAAAGATTGCACTATTTTCTCTGGCGAAGATGTGTGCTCATCCACCTTGCAGACAATTCCTTCGATCATCCGAGCTATTTCCAGTAGTTAGGCAGCTTCAGCAGTCACCGGATTCAACGATAGCTAATTATGCCGCTGTAATCGTTAAGAAAGTTGCAGAAGTATAATTGATCATTGATTTGCTTGAAATCTGCCAGCCACTGAATTGAAGCTCATCTCTCATGTGCCACTATGAAAAGGTTGATGCACGCTCAGTCGGTTTATCATGCAATTGCTCTTGTACAATTGAAGCAACATAAGGTCATCAATGACTTGGTTGCTGGTAAATATATGTATCTACCAACTTATTAAATTTCTGTATGCGGTTCAAATATGGAAACATTCTTAGAATCAAGTAAATTTTTGGGCAGTTTTCCATTACCTCTCACAGTTATGTCTGTGCAGTAAGGATATAATGCTTTTAGTCTTCACTTGAAGAAAATAATATGTATTGGTCCACTTTTGCAAAGCTCTGCGAATATCCTTCCTTTGATTGTTCTGGACTAAAGCTCATTCTTTGTAACAACTGGCATGAGAGACCGTAATTCCCATTTTCCTTTTGTTATTCATTCATTTAATGCTGTTAGGCGCAATAACTAAATTAAGGAATTCTGCCAAGATAACCCCTCTTTCATCCCCTCTCCGAACCACACGTGATATATGAATTGTCTTGGTTGAAAACATGACCATGTCCAATACAGGAGAAGCTGAATGAAGTTGAAAGTGAGTTGCTTCACTGCCTTAATACAAAACAGCAACTCTTCGGCAACAATTTTTATTCATATCAGTCTTTGCTATTCAAATGTGATCTACGCCATCTTGTTGACTGAATGATACATAACTTTTATGATATCATGTGTAAAATCTGTGAGTCATTGTCTAGAACTTAAAAACTCTTATGCTAAGGTAGGCTATGAATGCAAGCATAGCTGTAATACTCTCAAATTATAACCTCAACGTGGTATTTCACGCACCAAATATTCTTCAAAATGATTGTTCTCTTAATTCTGGTTCAATTCTTGTCATTTATTACATCTTTAAACGAGAGTCTTAGCTACCGACCTTTTGATTTTGGGATAAGGTATTTTCTCCACTTCTTACATAATCTGAACGTGTTTCACAGTATACATGGAACAAATGCTCAAGAACTGTTCACGGTTATATCAACAACCTTATCCCTCCTAAAATAGAATTCATTTTTTCTTAAAATAGTAAAATAACTTGGTCCAGTTTCCTATTAATCTCACTGATCTTCATAATAACTAATGTAGAGCCAAGTTTGTTCCTTTAGGAACAGCGGTAATTATATCATTACGGAAATTAAATACCACGTCAAAATATTGAACTAAGAATTGTAGGGCTTAAACCCCAAAGGGAGCCCTTCCAAAAATTCTCCACGGCCAAGGGTGAACCCAGGCCAAAGAGGGGGTTTGGAAATAGTTTTCAACCAGCAATAGACGCGCCTCGGTTAGAACCTCACTAGCTGCGTCATTGCCCCAAGCGCAAAGATGGTTTTAAACTAACCACCGGCTTTGCATAATATAGGACCCGGTTGATCCGCTTTTTCATGGATTACCGATATGGGATATTGGCAACCCTCTGAGCAAAACTGTGACATTTAAACCAGCACTTTATTATGGTTTTCAAGTTTTTTGGACTAACTTTTTGTCTCTACACATCATCTGTTTCAAATTACATGGCATAAGGCGAGAACATGTTTAAACCAAATTGAAATTAAGATGATATGAACTGTTCTAGTATGATGGTTAAGATTAAATTAGGGGTGGTTATGTTAACATATTACTTATGCTAAAATTATACTCCCTCCGTTTTAAAAAGAATTAACCTATTTAACTATTGGGATTTTTACATACCTATATACTATTAGAAATTTTATTACCCCCCTACTCAAGTTTCAATTTAATTACATCCTATATACAAATTTACCAATTATATACACTTTAAGAATTAAATAAGTATCTCTTTATATTAGGAATCAATTATTTTCCATCCTTATTCTCTCTCTCTACGTCTCTCTCTATCTCTCAATCCCTAATTCCAGTAATATAAAGCAAAGGAAAAGAGAGCAGTAATTCCACCATTGACAACCATTAAAAAACTTTTAAGCTTTGAATTCAAATGTGAGTTTTCAAAAACCATTATTTGTTTCGATTGAGTGTTGTTGCAAACAATTGGGAATATGGTTTAGAGTTTATATCTCAATTTTGAGGGTGTTTTGATGAAGATAAGACTTGATTTTGGCTGAATTTCAGATTAAAACCCGAAGAAGAAAAAGAAGAAGACATGATATACATTATACTTACGAATTGCATTAAAATTGTAGAAAAATTGAATTCTGTTGTTTATATTTATTTATTTATTTAAATATTGTATGAAAGTTGAACAATATTGTATAAAAATTATATTTAAGTTGTATGATATTGTAGTTGTATATAACATGGTAGAAATAATCTATAATTGTAGGTAAGTTGTATAATATATAATTAGTTGTATGAAATTTGTTTTTACTATGTATAAATCAGATACAAAATATACAAAAGACATATTGTATAAAATTTGTATAAAAATTATATTTAAGTGGTATGATATTGTAGTTGTATATAGCTGAGTAGAAATAATGTATGAAAATTATAGATAAGTTGTATAATATATAATTAGTTGTATGAAATTTATTTTTACTATGTATAAATCAGATATAAAATATACAAAAGATATATTGTATAAAATTTGTATACAAATTATATTTAAGTGGTATGATATTGTAGTTGTATATAACTGAGCGAAAATAATATATGAAAGTTGCATATGAGTTGTAAACACAACAGAAAAAACTTTATCCGAAGGAAAACTTTATTTCGAGTGATTTGGAAAAACAGAAAAGACGTATTCCTTTACATTAGAATTTAAAAGTGAGGAGAAATTGAACGATGTGGTCTATTTATTTTTTCTTGGGACGATGTGGTCTGTTTATTCAAGGGGTTATTACAAAAATAGTCACTTAAATTCACACTTTTCTTTTTTAGTCGATATATGTAAATTATTTACTAATTATATATAATTATATATTATATGTCTATCAATTATTTTTAGTTTAAAACATATATATAATTCTTTATTTTTTTTTTCAAGTCATATTGAAACAACACGCCTTTGAAACAGTGGCAATATGGGCATTTTTTTTAACGTAAAAGTGAAAGAGAAAAGGAGAAAATATATTTACTATGACATAATTAGAGTCACAACCACATTTGATAGGCTTAAAAAATATTAGGAAACTAAAGTCAAGGGATACAGTAGTTAGCTTAAATTGCTGTAAGGGTGGAAGATCCGGAGAGAAAAGGGGAAAGAGGAGAAAAAAAGAAAAAAAGTGTAACTAAAAGCTTGTTTGAATGGTTGTTACCCATTGTATCGTATCGTATTGTTACTTTAAATACGATGTTTGTTTTGATTGTTATTTAAATTTTATTATATCGTATCGTTAAAGCTGTCGTTACATAACGATGAAATGTGTCACTTTATGTAACGACCGATTTGGTATGGTAGCGTCATTACCTTGTCTTTTTCTCTCAATCTCACCCTTTATTATTATTATATTATTTTATTTTATCATTTACCCTATCTTTTTATATAGTAGTTTTACGTTGTATCATAATTTTTCTTTATAATATTGCAAGTTTATTCTTCATATTGCTGGTGCATGATATCATGAAACGATGACAAACGACACAATCTATCCAAACATTATATTTAGCAAACAATACAATACAATACAATACAGTACGATACGATACATTATGAAACAATGCGTAACAACCATCCAAACAAGCTGTAAATCCCTTGATTGAATGCACTAATAATGAATTGAGATCCTTTTAAGGTGGATATATATTTTATAGATAAAACTTGTGTAGGTCGCGTAAATAACAAAACATGGACAGTTTTGATAATAAAATTTAAAATAGTGTATAGGCATGTAAAATCTATTTACTATTTGGGAAGTCAAATAAGGTTTTCTATGACCATATTTTCTACAAATAATTTTTAAATATTTTGATTGTTAACTATTTTGAATTATAGTACTTTTCATATAGTTTTTAAATGTGTAAATTTTATTTCAAAAAACTTATAGAATCTATGTCCGAATTCACACCGAAAATTAAAACTTGACCCTCATACGCCAAAAGGTTCAAACAAATTGAAATAGAGGGAATGTGACGACCCGGTCAGTCGTCTCATGAGTTGCCGCTCCGTTTTTCCCCATTTCAGCTTCTTATTATTTTGTCTATCGGTTCTATATGTGATCGAGTTGGTTTGAGACACTTAGTCTCTTTTGAAGAAGCTTAAGTTGGAAAAGTCAACAAGATGTTGACTTATGTGTCAGAGGCTTGGATGTGAGTTCCGATGGTTTGGTTAGCTTTGGGAGGTGATTTGGGAGCATGATCAAAATGAGTTTTGGAGGTTCGGAGTAGATTTAGGCTTGAATTGGCAAAGTTGATATTTTGGCGTTTTCCGGTTGGTAGGAGAGATTTTGATATAGGGGTCGGAATGGAATTCCGAGAGTTGCAATAGTTCCGTTGTGTCATTTGGGATGTGTGTGCAAACATTCAGGTCATTCGGACGTGGTTTGGTTGGGTTTTTGATCAAAAGCGTAATTCGAAAGATTTTGGAAACTTAGGCTTGAATCCGATGTGTTTTGGTTGATTTGATGTTGTTTGAGGTGTTTTGAAGATTGGTACAAGTTTGAATAAGGTTTTTGGATATGTTGGTATTTTTGGTTGAGGTCCCGGGGGCCTCGGGGTGATTTCGGATGGTTGACGGAGAGTTGGAGTTTTTGGGGAGCTGCAGATTTTTGTTGTTCCGCACCTACAGATTGGGGACCGTAGGTGCGACGCCGCATATGCGGAAGACGGGCCGCAGAAGCGAAAACTGGTGAAGTTGGCAGGAACCGCAGATGCGACTAGTGCATCACAGAAGCGGAAGTGGCGTTTAAGTGAGAAACCGCAGAAGCGGCTCTTGGACAATAAAAGCGGTATCGCAGATGCGATGGATTGACCGCAGATGCGAAAATGCCTGGGCTAGAAGGTATAAATTGTGTCCTTCGCGATTTTTGAGCTATTTTTACCATTTTTGAGTCGGCTTTGGAGCTTTTTGGACGATTTTGAAAAGGGATTTCAAGGGAATTTCATTGAGGGTAAGGATTTTGGACGTAAATCTCGTTCCTATGGTATTTTTTCACGGATTAGGCTTGTAATTTATGGAATTTAAGGATCAAAGTTTGGGAAAACTAGGGCTTGGAAACTTAGACCTTTGATTGAGGATTTGAAGGAACATTTGAGGTCGGATTTCAGAACTTTTGATATGTATGAACTCGTGGGGAGATAAGGAATCTATTGATGTAAAAATTATCGAATTCCAAGACGTAGGCCCGGGGTCGGGTTTTGGTAATTTCGGGATTTGTGTTGTAAATTGATTATTTTCGCTTGGGCTTCGTCCCCTTAGCATATTTTGACGCCGTGATTCTGATTTTGGATAGATTCG